CATACTTTGATTTTCTTTTACTATACGGAAAATGGTCGCACTGCGCAGCTTTCTGAGTGCCTTTTAAAAGGAGATAGAAAACTCCGCCATTTTGAACTCTTATTACGTGTTGCCTACATCTTGGCGCAATATTTTTAATAGGTGCGTTTTAATAATCCGCTTCTGCTTCGGAATTGTCGGTTTTCTTGTTTTAATCTTACAGGTTAAAACGACTAAACCGACAATTCCGGAAACAGAAGTGGATGATTAAAACGCACCTGATATTTTGCTTGCTGCTGTCAGTGTCAGTGAATATTATTTTTGAAGTCACAGTTTATTGCTAAAGAATCAGTTAGCTCACTCGGACCAGTTGAAATTTCCAAAATAACATCCACTCCAGGGATACAAATTCAGGATACGCAGAAGACTGCTGTTTTATTATAGGCGGTTGTCATATATTGTATTATCCGAGTTGCACAGTGTATAAACTGAAACATTGAGATCAAAAGTGCCGACGCAGAGTGAGCGATCTGATTCTTTAGCTGTAAACTGTGTCACAGGGTTCAAAATGGCCGCGCCCTATGTTGGGCGTATCGGACCTTTCTCTTACCTCGTATAGTAATCAAAGTATGTGGTTTACAAACCCGAAGGAACTAACAATGCCCGGATCACGCCGGGATTTTGTTTAATTTCCGTAAAGTAAGTATTTCAATTTTATGGTAGAACCTTTGTGGTGTGAATGTTTATTATTGTTTAATACAGAATATATCTTATTATTGAAATCATACTTCGTTTTATTTTCCTTTTTAATGCTTTTTATTTTGTGTGCCTAAAAAAAAATGATTTTTTTTTTGATTTGATGTGCTAGTAAATGTGAATTACATATTTATTCAAATTTCCAGTACATCAAATCAGAAAAAAAATCATAAAAATATTAGATAAAGTGGATCTACATATTTGAATTATCCCCGGTTCTTCTTTTTTTAAAAAAGAATTATAATTTGACCGGTTGCTTATAAAGAAAAAGGCCACTATTAAAACACAAGGTATACCAGCGCCATCGGCCTTATCTTCCAGTCCAATCGCCCAGTCAATTCTTGTTGAAAAGCAAAATTGCATTGAGTTAACCGTCTCATTAGTTGTCTCTGGCAATAACCATCCTTTTAACTTTCAAGTAACCTTCAAAGACACCTGCTGTCTCTTCTTCTTCTGTTAGTTTTTTGGCCTCCACCCTTAAGGTATTTAGCCAGAGCAGGTATTTTAGCTTATATTACAGGAATATTCATTAAAGAACATCTGGAATTTTCCATCTTCCCATTGAAAAATCCATGTTCACTCTTTTCCATTGGTTATACTAATTTAAAACCATCATGAGCTATATTCCACTATTTGAACCATAAACTTGAGAACGTGTTCTCTATCATATAATTTAATTTACTAGCTATATTCACTATATATCTTTTAAATACAAGTTCAAAAAATTTTAAAGCACAAATACTAAACACATTAGACAATATACATTTATCGATAACCGATTTTGATAAAGATTTTATCGGAAACATACAAACTTGACTTCCAATTCTGAGACCGCCATATCGACGTTGACACCACGGCATCAGAATCGGAAGTCACCTGCTGTCTGTAAAGCAGTTAAAGCTAGTCACGCGAGATATTTCACCCAATCATAAGACAGATCTTAAAAACAATGGTCTCGTGTGCAAAAACATACGATTAAAGAGAGCCAATTATAAGAAAGGTAAAAGCAGGTGCGGGTTGACAAGCCACGACAGGACAAACTAAAATCACTTTCGCATTGTCAGTCGAACAAGCAACAAGTCGCAAAAACTTTAACCTAAAAAGCCGGCATTCGCAGTAATTATTCCAAGCATGTGCGATTTGCTTTTATAAAAAGTTAATATGTAACTTCTATGTAACAAAAAGTTGTAAATGTGTTAAATGGGAACGTATCAAGCAGTGAATATATCAAATTAAAATGTAGGGTGATGGTTATATTTTAATACATCCAGTACTTCAACTAGAATTTCAAGAATATCTTCCAGAGGCTACATGGTGGAGCATAAGGCCTCCACCCCCAGGTAATCTAATATGAATAAAGTCCACCATGATCGAAGGCAGTATACGTCAAGTCCTAGAAAGTTAGGGTTTACAACCTTCAACACGAGGCCCCTCACTCCATTTTGTTCAAGAACATTTAAGAGCTTCTGATGTGACACTGTGTCAAATGCTTTTGCTAGATATAGAAATATAGTTATATTACCAGTATTCAATTCATCAGTAACATATGAAATCAATTCATGTATTTATTAAAAATTTCAAATTAATTTTTTTATACATTTAATAATGTTAAGATCAAATATATTAAATCACATTAAAAAAATCTGTAAACGAGATTTTGATCTCAGTACGAAACTGTTGAAAGATGATCCCGAAGACATAGGTCCTATTAAATTCTCTTCTAGTAAATACAAGTAAATACAAAGCCAGATCAACACGAATGGGATACTACACAGAAAAAAAAAACTTGGTATATTGAGATAAGAGTTATTATCTGACGAAAAATTTATTGGATTATATGTGTATTTTTTTGGATTCAGATAAAGCAGTAGTCAAATTTACCAGGCACATTATGCAAAAGAAAATTTTTTTTCTTCTAACACAATATTTTCCAATTCAGATTAAAGCTAATTTGAATTAGATTATACAACTTACTAATATTTAAAAACATACAAAACGTTTGGTTGTATTTAATAATTTTAATTGTGTAGTTTAAACACATTACCTATTTATTTTTAAAACAAATATTGTTTAGTACTATATGAATTTTTGTGTAGACTTAACATAAAACTTTTTTAATTGACACACATTCTTAAATAGAATAGGTAATTATTTTGTTTAAAATAATCAAAAAACTTTTAGACGTGCATTTGTGAAATTATGTAACTTAAATAATTTTTTAAGTACATTAGCAATTTAAAAAATATAACTTATGTGTCCGAAAAAATATTTTGTTGTATTAAAACGATGTTGTTTGGAATAGATATGGTTTTTAGTTGCCCTTTATAGTGAAGGTTGTAACTTGTTTGGACGCGGCACGCGGCGACACCTAGTATAGGAACGAACATTCATTCTGTTGTTTATGTTTGTTTGTCGTTTAGTTTGGATGGTGGGTGAATAGAGTTGTTTGTTTTTGTTTTAATTGTGTAATGTTTAGGTGCTAATAATGGAAGTAACAAAAGGATTATTGATTGAGTGGGGCCTCGAAGAAATCGTGGAAGATTTTGTGGGTAAGTAAATTCCAGTTTTATTATAATTTTACGACCAATGCAATATGTTTACAACTGTTCGATGAATGTAAAATTTATTAATTCTAACTGTGGTAAAATTAGGCTATCTTAAGCGGTTTTTTAAAACAAATATGGTGTGTTTGGTTAGATATTTGAAATGCCGGCCTTTTTTCCCGTTTTATAGCAACATATACCGAGGCGTGAATTTGTGGGGGTTAAATATTAAAATGGCGTCCTACAAGAATTTAAATATACTGCAAACCAAATTTTTAGTAACTGTAATAATGATTAGAAATTATGAAATTAAATTTTTTTGATTTGTTTACAAGGGAGAGCAGTGTTAAATTTAAAATCGTTTATTTAACTTCACTTGTGAGGGGTGTTCGAATACACCTTAACACGCTGAAACAGAAAGATAGGGTTTTTGTTATTCTTTAAAAAAAAAATTGTTTGCAATCGACTCCATGTTTTATTAAAGTTTGACTGCACCCGAAGATGGAAAAGGTTTCCAAAACATATGTAGTGCTGTGTTAAATGATAAAAAACAAAAACGACCGAATAAACCAAGGACATTTTTATTTATGTTTAATAAAATGGTGTGGTTTTGAACATTTGAGAGTTTTACTTTTGCCAGTTTTGTTAAAATTTGGCACTATTGTTTATAGTGATAATAGTCCACGTACTTCCATTGGTATTTTTCCATGTTTTGTAATTATTCAACTAAATATACAGCTTTGCAGTTTTTAAGAAACCTATATTCATTTCCCGACCTATGTTCATATAAGAAATGTTCATGTTTTCTTAGATAAAATCACCCCTGAAATTATTCAAATTGAATTTACGGACACCCTGTATAATAACGTAGTAAATTATTTTTAGGTGGACATTGATATTAACATCTTCTTCCCTGATCATGGAATGAATTTATTAAATTCTTGACATATTTTCTAAAGACAACGCAATTAAAGAACTACTAGATGATTTGACAGCTGCTATTTCTTCAGGTAATATAATATTACCTACATGGGAAAATCCGAGATTTAACAATTTTATTTATTGTTTTAGATACCAGGGCTAACATTGTTATGCTATTACATTACATTTTGCCAACAATAAGTATCCGAAACGGAAAACCAGCAGGGCGGTGGAGGCCTTCTCGCCTAGAAGTTGCTGAAGGATTTTGGTTACGACTATAAGTAGGTAATTTAGTTCTGTTTTAGACCTTTTTATATTTAGAATATTGAAATATGACCAGGCCGAGCCACAGATTTTGGTATAATAATATAAATTTATATCTAAGAGGTGCAGTTGTCTTACATTTGATTTATTATATGTTTTTTTTTTTAGAATATATCAGAACTAACTCAAGCTGTCAATAATAAACTAGAAAAATTACAGAAACTTGGACTTTGCGTTCAACCATTGGTAATCGTCGTGGGGCCCTCAAATACCGAAATTTAAAATGTTTCTGTTGATAGATGATAGATCAACATATGTTTCCTATTTCATCTTGTCTAAAAGCCCTAGACAAATGTTTTAAAAGTTTTCATACTCTGCATGCGGAATACGCCAGAGAATCGGAACAGATATGGACTTTTATTCAACAAGGTACATATAAACTACATACCAAATGGGACAAATCTTTCACTGGTATTAATTTATTATTGGCGGACTTAAAACTGTAAACGTTAAGTATACTTACCTATCTTTTTAGAAATGAAGAATTTTTCGTTATTTAGGAGTATTGTTTTGCTTCTAGTAATTCAGAGTTGTTTATTTTTGAGTTTTAAGTTAATGTTTTATTTATTTTTAATTACTTATAAGACTGAATATGCCAGTTTGTTATTTGTGTTCGTAAGATTTTGACATATATGGTTTTGTTTTTTTCATTTTAAAATAGTCCATAAGCTAAGAACTGATAGTAATTACAGATGTAAGTAAAGACTATGTAGACGAGATTTTCAAACTATTAACTCTTTTAAAAAATAAACACGGGGCATGTCAAAATGGATGTAATATTTTTACCTCCGACAACTATAGTGATAATATAAGCTCAAACTGTTTTAACCTTAGTTAGTTCCTGTTCGAAATAAAAAAATATATGTTTTTTACATAATATTGTTTCAATTATATTACCTTTGAATTTTCATTTGAGATATATCCCAAAAATGTCAGTTTTCATGAACCAAAACGATATTTCTTTACATTTACTAAAGTAAAATTTTAAAATCGGATACTATACGGGGTATCCCATAAAAAGGCACCGTCTCCGATAAAAATTAGATTAGATCTTGGGGTACATCCAAATAACTATTCTTATACATACTAATAATTTTTGTAAATAAATAATAAATAATTAGTTTCTCTGAGAATAGTTATTTGGATGCACCCCAAGTTCTAATTTCTCTATCGAAATAACACATGAATTCCATTGCCGCCAAAAAATCGCACATTAAAAAATTAGGCCTAAATTTTACTTAAGGCCCCTCAACCTAACTCGTCCCTGGTATGATTTGATTAACAATAAGACACATTTCAGTAGGCCTATATATAAGTCAATAATTGTACCTAATTTCAAAACTATATCTGTTAACGTTTATAAACTACTTGCAAAAAAACACCTCTAGAAATTTACATTTGATCTCAGAAATACATCTTTTCGCGACTCATGTTCATACGAAGTTTTTTACTTATTTTTGACAATAGAATACGCCGTTAATTTTTTTTGCACTGTTTATGGGACACCCTGTATATGGGCCAGACAATACCCATATAATTGTATTTCATTTACATGTAAGTATATTAAACATCAAATAAACAAGTTAAAGAGAGGGGGGGGGGGACATTTATAACTAATAATTTTGTATCTACATAAGAACTTTGTCTAAGCATGCAATTGTACTTATCTACCCTAGCAAATTCCTTTTTTCGTGGTTTAGTAAAATACTTGTCTAATGTAGGTAGTAAATAAGTCCCCTCACACTAGGCTATTATATATGCCAGCACATTTATTTTCTATTTAACAAAATAAAAATATTTAGTACAACATACGATTTTGCTAAATTAGTACTTTTTCTATGCAGCTTAGTGAATTGTCTCACAATTATTTAATAAAACCCTTTCTTGTCACACAATCGTATGTTTTCAACTAACAAATTTTCTTTTCTAGAGTATATAATATTTTATTTGAAAGAACTAACAAATTCTTTTTAAGGGCAAACATGTTTATCAATTCGTAATAATTAATATTTTATAAATTAGATAATATGATTATTTATATTAGGTAAAGCAATTTTAGTTAAAACATTTGGATAAGGTGGATAAGGTTTTATCTGTCCCTATAGTGCTTAAGTATTTTGTCTAATCTATACAAGTTTTTTTTTTCTGTGTATGAACCACGTTTATGCTATGAGCCCTATGTAATCATGACCAGTATATCTGCCTTTTTGGTTTATTTTATGTTTCTGAGGGAAAAAAATAACATTGATGAAGATCTTGGTTGAAATTTGTATAGCAGAATAGAAGGCTTAGAAGAACTTCAGTTAAGACAGTCTTTAGAATACAATATTAGAATAGAATATTAAAGGAAATTGAAGAATGCTTTAACAGCAGAAGAAGTTCCTTAATATTTGTGATTATCAAATTTTTAGTGTATTTTTGTGTAGTAATAGGGTTTATTCAATAAAGACAATAGCATCTCCTGAGTTAAGACCCTCAGTAAAGCCATATTGGTGCTTGGGAAGTAAGTCATTAGTTTTTAAAAAATCTGTCAGTCTATTTTTCACACATTTCTCAAATATTTTGACCACATTACTAATTAAACTAATAGGTCTATAGTTAGTTATTAATTTTGGATTACCAGCTTTATTAATAGGTGTTATAATTAAATTTTTAAATTGTTTAGGTACGATTCCTGTATTAAAAATACAATTAATTATATGCATTAAAGGTTCTGTAAATACGGATGTAGTAGTTTCAGATGTTTTACTGTTATACAATCAAATCCCGGGGCACTATTGTTTTTTAAAGTATTTATGTGTTTTATAATATCGTTTTCGCATATCGGTTTCAGAAACATTGATTTTTCAGTGACACAGGAAAATCCACATTACATTCAGGGATATTTGTGAACATGTTAATGCCAATAATCGAAAATTAGTTATTGCAGTAATTCGCCATTTCATTATCATTTTCAAATTCCTCATTATGTTGGTTAACAATCTGTAAATTGGTATTATTTTTTTTATTATTTTTATTAGTTGCTTCAGAGATTAATTGATAAGTTTTTTTCAGATCATTTTTGTTTTGGTTTATTTTATTGTTATAATAGTCATTTTTAGTTTTTAATATTAGTTTGTTTAAATTATTTCTAAATGTTTTATAGTGAGTTTGTTTGTTAATAGTATAGTTTTTTTTATAGATCTTTTTTAAGTTTATCCCTAGTTTTAATAGAATTAATTAAACCTTTTGTTATTCATGGCTTTATTGTTTTATGGATTTTAATTTTAATATTTTAAGTGGTTTGACATGTTTCAATGATATTAAGATACGTGTCATAAAAAAGTTGTGATGCAATTTCTGGATTATTTTCATTGCAAACACATTCCTAGTTTACAGTTTCGAATTTTTGTTTTAATTTATCAGTATCGATTTTAGTTATAGTTTTATATGTATTGTAGGAACTTGTGTAGTTTTTGGCAGATTGTGAGATATTTATCATAATAGGATCATAGCTGATTACATAAGAGTTCACCGATAGATTTTCAGTCTTAATATTGTTTTTTAAGAATATATGATCCAAGCATGTTTTACTTGGTGGCCTCGTAATAGTGTTTATTTAAGATATGAAACCATGAGAGTAAAAAGTTGCTTGGTAATCAGTAGTTACTTGATTGGTTGCATTTAGGAGATCAATATTAATGTCCCCTATGAATATTTTAATATTTCTATTTAGCTGATTTGGTATGAAATTTTCTAAATCCCTTATAAATGCTTGTGCGGAGGTTTGAGGAGACCTGTATACACCTGTAATGCCAATGGTCCCATGATTGACTTTTAGATTTATTTTAGTGATATAAATATCAGAATATTCCAATTTAACTATATTTAATTCTGCATTTAGATTTGACCTGACCAAAATTACAACACCATCATTTCTGTTAATGTTACTATTGTTATAGTGGGTGGTGAAGCCATCTAGGTTAAATTGAGAAATAGATTCTAATTGGAAACATTCAGTTAAAACTATTATATCACAATAATTAATTTTATAACTTTCTAGAAATACTAACAACTCATCAAAAATTCATTTTAATACTCCTAATATTGAAATGTAAGACATTTAGGAGTTTTTCATTTAAATTAATTTTATTTGTTATATTAGCAGCATCAACGACTTCATTAATCAAATTAAATTGAATAGAATTTAATAGATTATTTTCTTGATTAATAATCATGAACTATTTAAATGTGTGTACAAATATTAGTTAGGTTATGTTATTGATCTGTATATTCGGTTTTATTTTGTAATACCATTTGGTGATATTTCAAAGAGGGACCAGTCAAATCTAGTGCAGAATAGTTGTAGTCGTACTCAGTTTTATATTTTTCGTTAGAAGTTTTACAGTTCTTACATTGCATTTTATTCTTTGGACACAAGCTAGCTTCATGTTCTTCACTACAGATGTGGCACACAATTACATTCTTACAATTTTTTTTTATGGTAGAAACCTTGAAATTTAGAACATCTGGGTATCTCCAAATCTTCATAAACCGGAAGTCCTTCCCATCCTATACATATTTTTTCCTTTGTATCAATTGTTTGAATGCAGTTCCTAAACATTCACAGTATACAGTATTAAAGCCTTTTTTCGTTTTTCTTTCACCTGTTATGTCATTCTGTTTCACAATGGACTTGTCAATTTCTTCCTTGGTCATATTCTCTGTAAAATTGCAGATTTTCATTCTGGGTCTTCTTATTTTTGTCAGATCTACATCATATGAATCTTTTAATTTATATTAAACAGCTTTTTCCAGAATTTTAGCTTCTTTCTTTGTTTGACAGGAGAGTATAACGGAACCATTCTTTCCCATCTCTAATTGTTTTACTTCAACTTTTAAATCAGTTAGGTCAATATTTGTTCCTAAATTTGTTTTTGTTTTGTTTCCACCCTGTGGTATTTTTGGTTTAATAATAATTTTTGGAGGGTTAGGTATTCGTTCATTGTCTTCTTTTTGTATCAGCATAAGAAATGGTAGGTACAATATTCATCTCTTTTTCTTCAAATTCTTTAATTTTCTGTTGAAGCATTTTTATTATTTCATTTTTACTATTTATCATTTCATCCTTATCTTCATTAGTCTTCTTTAGAAAATCAGTTTATAATTCCTACATTTTGCACAATGAAATTTCAGAATTTTAGTGCGTAGTGGTATACACCTAATTTCTGTGGTTGATAATTCAGAACATTAGTTGCAGTATAATCTTCTGCATCCATCACATGTAGAGCATGAATATTTTTGTTCTTTTGTAGGCTGATGAATAATCTCACACAAACTAAATGTGGGTACACCACTGGATATTTTATTTGTATGATTGCTTAGTAGAAAGTATTGGTTTTTATTTTATTTGACCTAAACTTTTTTGTCATCTGATAAGGTTTGGTACTTTTTTGCGTTTTTGTTTCCTTGGTGGATTTTATTTCGGTTAAATTGCAGAGATAATGCATTAATCTATACAACTGTGACTCACCTAAACAGTTTATTTACTACACTATAGTACTATCACATTTTATTTAATTCACTAGTTTTTTTTTTAACATTATATAGTTTATATCGATATAAATATAAGGGGTTATGATGGACAA